TCCAAAAGTCCTGAGATAGTAGTTTTTGGGAAAGCCTTAGGCATTAACATATTATGGCACTTCACAGGTTGAGGGGTGTGAAGGAACTCTAAGTAAAATGTATGACTATAATGCAGGTGTCTATTTATGTTTTATATTTCACAGAATGATGGCAACATACAATGTAGGAAAGAAGACTGGGAGTCAAATCTTTAGTAGATGCAGGGATATTGCCAGGAGAAGAAAGTGGCCGTAACCTCAAGAGGAAAGGATTTACTAGACAAGTGTAGAAGTATTAGATCTCAGACAATGTGGACTAAAATAGGAGAAATCCTAATTTCTTCATTCCCCCAACCCTAAGGACTTGAGATAGGGAAGTATGAGGAGCACCTGCAAGGATTATCCAAGAAGTGGATATCCTCATTGGACAGTAGGGTTTGAAGTTGTTCTCAAATCTAGCTTCATAATTGAAATTTCTGCAAGCAATGAAGAGACCATTTAATAATAAGAGTGAAGGTGTAGGAGAATTTGTTCTTAATGGGACAAGTTCTGGCCAATAAAAAGGAAAGAATATGGGGTATAAAGGAGATGATAAATGACTGGAGGATGTTTCTTTGTTTACAACGTAGTGGACTAAAGAAAACTGTCAAGAAACTGAAGAGATTAGCTAGTTGGTAGAATGACAGTCAAAACTCAGGCACACCCATTGGATCCCAAGGCCAAATGTTGTTCACAGTTTTGTAGTCCAGTCAACAATCTGTGACATTGTTCAGAGTTCCAATAGCATATGGAAATCCACTTAGAAAAGGATAGTCATTTGGGCTTCTGTTCTATTTAAATACAAATGTAGAACTAATCAGGCTGAGTCTTAGCCCAAGATTCAGATTAGGCTGAGTAAATGAATCCAGGGCCTTGTACATGCAAGGCAAATGTTCTATCACTAAGCTATACCCCAAATCCATTCCAGTCCTTATTCCTGAAGACTCACTGTTGAGCTTCCTCTTCCTTGACACGTCTTTCACTCAGCAGAAAGTTAAATGCTGCTCTTTTCATGTTCCCATAGAAATAGCAGTATATATTCTAGGTTTTGTGCTTAACCAGCACTAGATTGCTATTTCTTCCTTACATATCTGTCTAGCTAACATTTGAGGTGCTTGATGGAACACTTACCATGTGCAAAGTATGTCTAGGGTTATATCATTTAGTCTCCACAAGAAAGAGGAGGTGAGGAAAAGAAAAAGGAGGAGAAGGAGAAAAGAAGAAGAGGAAGAGAAGGAGAAGAAGAGAAGGAGAAGACAGGAAGAGAAGGAGGACAAAGAAGAGAGAGGGAGGAAGGAAAGAAGAGGAAGGGAAGGAAAAGAGAGAAGGAGGGAGAGAGAGGAGAGAGATAGAGGGGGAGAGAGAGAGAGAGAGAGAGAGAGAGAGAGAGAGGACCCTTATGTGAGCAATCCACACTGAATTAGGAGGCAGATGAAAGAAGCAAAACTTTATAGAGCTATGAGCTAAAAGAAAGCCCAGTCATTTATGAAGTATTTAGATATGTGTACAAATAGCAGGGTCCATCGTAAGAGTAAAGGCTGGAGAGGTAAGCTAGGAATAAATCCTGCAGGTCCCTGAATATCATATAAAGAAGCATAAACTTTTAACATAAGGGTAATGAGGGATCATAGAGTAGAGAAATTAATTGGAGGGGACAAAATTGGTGACAATGAGACCAAGAAATACTGATGCCTTGGACTAAAATAGTGGTTTGTGGAAATGAAAGAAAGAAGATGGATTTAAGACAAGTTTAGGAGATAAAGAGAAAGTTAGTGACTAATTGACATAGAAATAAAGTAGGTGACTCCCAAATCTTTGGTTTTGGCATCTATGCCATGCTTAATTGCCCAGTAGCCAGAGTAAACATGTGCTTATGGCACCCAGGAAGTTAAAGGTGCTGAAAATGTGAAAACATTATGATTTGGGTTATATAGCTTTTAAAATGACTCAGTCATCATAGAAATATCAAAATATTTTGGACTTCTTATTTTTTATGCTTTAATGTAAATTTTATTTTAATTATACATCAGCGAGGAGGATCATAATCTCTTCAGTGCTTAGAACCTCCCAAAGCAGGAGGAGTCTGAAACTTTATGCCTCTCAACTAGATGGTTAGTGGTGTCATTTTACTGAGATAGGGAACACTTAAAGGGAACAAGTTTGATTTTCCTGCCTGTTATATTTGATCTTGAATGCAGAGAATGGCATGATTGGTTTGGTAAGGCTGGCAATCTGGTGGCCTTCTAGGGATATACCCTTAAGCGAATTCTGTGTATAACTCAACCCATGTAGAGTGTTTACATTTAAGTCAATATATTACAAATGTTCAGCAAATACTACTAAGTTAGAAGAGTTTATTGCTGACAAGAGAGGGCATGAATGCATACTAGTATAAGGACAGGAAGTATAGATGAAGGTAGGGAATTATGAACCTCTGAAAGCATATGCAAAATTGTGTGTGTGCATATTGAATTTTTTATGAGTAGAAGTTTCACAGTTGTTTTCCAAATTTTGCAGAGTGGACTTTGAACCCCAAAAGATTACCAAGAGCTGGCAATTACAAAGCTAATGAAGGTGCTTTGTTAGAGTTACTCACTTGCCAGGGACTCTTCCAAAGCCCTAGGAGGCCCCTACCAATTTTGTATTGTATTTATGTGAAAGGAGGGTTTCTCACAAATTACATGCAGTGTCTAGTCCCACAGCATCTGGATCCACACCTGACAACCATAGATTAGGGAATTAGCTAACATGAGTTAATATCTGGGAGTGGATTCAATCCAGGGGAAGTGAATGTAGAGAAAGAATTGCAGAAAGACAAAGACTGTACTAGAAATGGCAGAAAAAAAAACAAGAGAAAAAATAGTTGCCAAGGAGGAAGGAAACTCAGAAAAGGTCAAGAAAGTGGAAAGAGAGGTAATTAACTGTGTCTAGTATGGATAGGAGAACAGAGAAAGTAAAACAAAGATGATGAGAGTTAGTAGGATACTTTCGGTGGCGTGACAGCACAGAAAGCTGGTTGTTCTGTTTGCTTTTCTGAACAAGAAGTCATGGTTGAACAAGTATAAATGGTAACTGCCATACACACATATGCAGAGGAATTAGGCACACCAATAGAAAGCTCTAAATTGACTGTTAGGATAATCCTCAATAAAGTAGACTTACTATAAAATCAGAATCCGTGCTGGGTTGTGAGATGACATACATGAACTTTTAAAAAATGAGTCCTAAATGTATCCTATAGCCAGACAAAGGCTTTCAATGACTCTTGTCCCTCTGCCCCCAACTTTTTTTTTCTGCTCCTATATAGTCCCTCCCACTACTTAAATTTCCATATTTCTGCACGTTTTCCCTGTCCTCTGGCTAGACATACCCAACAATGAGAGAGAGAGTGCAAAGGGCAAAGAAGACATAAGAGTAGCTTTTGGAAATCAATATAGAGATACCTCAAAAAACCAGGATTAGAGGTCCCACTTGACCCAGATATTCCCCTACTGGGTATCTTCCCAAAAGAATTAAAAGCATCATATCACAGCCATATATGGGCACCCTTGTTTATAGTGGCCCAGTTTGTAATAGCTAAAGCTTGGAAACAGCCCAAAGGCTCATCAACTGGTGACTGGATAAAGAAGATGTGGTTCTTTTTCTAAATTGGAGTACTACTCAGCCATAAAGAACGAGAAACTAGAGACATTTATAGCTAAATGGATGCACATTGAGGCCATACTCTTCAGTGAAATAAATAGGACACACATGTGTAAATACCACATAGTTTCTCTGTTGTGAAAAACTAAAAGTGTAAACGAGCACCAAAATTTATAATAAATATTAAAGATTTTCAATTTAAAATTTCTCATGGTAATTTATAAAATATGTAATATGTATGAGTTTAATTCCATGTCATCTGCAATTCAGGCCAAAGAAACATCTAGTTTCATCTGGGTAAACCAAGTTCATCCTGACTTGCCTGGTATTAGGAAAGTGAGTATTATTTATTCAGTGTGGAATTCAGTCTTATCAGAGGTACATTCTCAAATCTGTTGGTATGACTTTTATGGAAGCTACTAGATGTCATTTTAGAGTATTTCCATAGTACTTTCCTCCTGGGGACTATTTCCAGATATATTAATTTCATTACAGTTCCTAATTTAATTTCTTTAGTGATTGTATCTTTAAAGGCTTTTGACTTATTAACTAGCAAAACTTTTGTTCATAATTATGTCACTATGAAAAATCTGCTACTTGAAATGGGCAATAATTTCAAATAGCTAATATGACTGAATATAAATATTGTTATGAACTTAGAGTAAACCAAAGAACTGATTTGAGGTATCTAAAAACTAATAAAATTAATTCAGTAAAAAGCACCAATCTATACTTTTACCAGAAATTAATAAAAATAGTTTGAAAGATAAAGAAAGATGTGTAACATCCCTGATTTATAATATTATCTTTGTTAAAAAGAAGGCTAAATATGCTTCATGTTGCAAACATGTAAATTAAAGACTTTCCAACTTCTTGATAATAATTTATAGATGACAATGGAAAAATTCCTAACACTCTTATAGATAACTAAAGTATTTTTTCTTTCCTATTCTTTTTTTCTAATACTAAACCTTAGCTTGACTTGAGTGTGATTAGTTTCTTATTTAGTAAATGGTTTTTGATTCGACAAAGATAGTTAAACACAATGTATGCAGATATTTGTTGATTACATCATTACATGGATAAAGGACATAATTCAGTCTGATAAGGGTTTTGTTTGAATTGCATTTTGGAACTTTTTCATCATTTGGACATAATCTTTTTCATCAAGCTCAGCCATTTCTTCAAATAAAATTGAATTTTCTGGAGTTAGGTATTGCTAAAATTTTGTTGGAATCAATTTTCTTTCAACTTTATAATTGTTTTGATGAACTACTTGTACAATTTATGGAAGCAAAAACTGTACCCCAAATAAATACATGTTAACATTTTGCCTTTAGCCAATAAGAAGAAAGAGAAAGAACGCCCAGAGATCTCTCTTCCTTCAGACTTTGAGCATACGATTCATGTGGGGTTTGATGCAGTCACCGGGGAATTCACTGTAAGTAAGCTCCTTATTTCATTTTGTAAATTCATTTGTGAAAATAGGTTTCAAACAAGAATGACCATGTCCCAAAATATCAGACTGAATTTATTTGATGATCCCAAGCAAAATGGGCTCTGTCTACACAATCACAGATGAAAATAGAAGGTGACAACAACATTGGCAACATTATTTTGTCCATCTTAACAAAAATTTCTGATCACTGTATAATCTTCAACTTCATTGAAAATATTCATTTACCCTGGCACAGAAAATGTAGTTTTGGTAAGGAGACCCTGCCTGAACCTATTCTTTATCATGAGAAGTAAATCGGAGAGTAATCTACTCAAATTGGCCAGTGAAGACAATCTATCTGAATAATTCAGGTTTTACAATGGGACCTGAATTACTCCAGATTGGCTAACCACGCTAATGAAAAATCTCTGTAAAACTGGTCTGATCTTCCTTGTGATTGCAAAAACATAGTTTTCTTTTAGGATTATTAATATGTGTATTTTGTAGACATCCAAAACAAGCCCCATGTTTCTGGAAGAAATATTGATGGATATATCATGTATGTTTTAGTGCTTACTTTGCAGATACATATACAATATGAGTAATTCATAAGAAATACTGATAAGAATTCTTTGGATAGATCACTGCTATAGGTCAAGGCATTATTTGGATATTTGTAGTGCTCAAATAACACAAGATCTCAGATGTATGATGCCATTTTATATATACCTTTTAAAAAAACTATTGGGCACTTCCTTTTTGAGATGGGAGAGGGAAAAGGTGGTGCTAGAAATATGTCCCAAGGAAGCTCAACTATTTTTTTCTATGCTATTAAGGAGTTTAATTAAAATGTATATTCTGAAATAATGAGTAGTTTTGAATGAATTTAGAAAAAAAAAATCTTTGCTAGGACTATCACCATCAATTCCTGGCTTATTAAACCTGAGAGAAATATAGATATTGAATAAATTTCCTGCCTCCAAAAATGATGGTTAGTGAACAGACTGTGTCATATGATTAAGTGGGAAAAAAAGAAGCAAATCGATTTGATTTGGAGAAGCAAACCATGTAGTTGAATTGACAGACATATTATCTTATTTGTTTAATTCTAGAAATAAACAATAAGAAAAAAATGGAAACAAAGTAAACATCTGGGCCTCCTAAAGTTGTGTGGGGAGATTATTTCTTCATTCTCAGTAGCAAGCAGAAGAGAATGCAAGAATTAATGCCACTGTAAAATTGAGATAGTATTTAACCAATTTCATCATCAGAGTTGGAGACATTCAAATACCATTGAGTTTGAGCACAGCCTTTGTTATATTGTCTGAATATTCTCTTAGCTGCCTTTAGAAATTGTAACCCTGCTCTCAACACGACTAGAGATTTGTAAGTGTTTGTAAGTGTTTTTCTGGAAATTGAAACAGGAAAATCCTTTAAACTTTATAGAAGTTTTATCTAATAACTTTTATCTTTTTATTTATTTATTTTTTAATTTTTTTTCATTAAGTTTATTGGTACATTTTAGATATAAAATACAGTTACATTCATCATTGGGATCTTGTACCTTTACATGATGAATCTTGGTTCTTATTTTTTTCCCCTTCCTCTGCCCTCCCTTCACCCCCTCCATCCTTCCCTATTTGAAAAGACTTTGTTTCCATTTTTTTCCTTTTCTCATATTTTTTCTTTTCCCCTCTTTCCTTTCCCCTACCCCTCCCACTTCCCCTACTCCTTTAGACCTTTTCTTCCTATTACACAATATCAATTATACATTTTTACAATTACAATATCAAAATTTAGAGGACATTACCACAGATTTTACAGAATGTAAAAGGATATAGAAAGCATATTACAAAAATCTGTTTTGAAATAAATTTGACAACTCCTAAGAAGTACCTTGGAAGACAAATTAATGAAACTGACTCTGGAGGACATACAAAATTTGAGTCTTTTTATTTTTAAGAACTTTGTGTTACCTGTTTTGACCTATTTTCCCCTATGTGTCTCTTTTGTTTACATGTCTCATGATTTATTATTGTCATTACACATTTTTGTTTCTTTTTTTCTTCCTTGTTTTTTCTGATCTGAAAATCTTCACTGGTTGGTTATATTATGTGACATTTAGCTTCTTTTTCAAGTTTTTATTCTGTCCGCATTTTCCAACTTACTTGACATCTTATGACTCAGTCTATCTGTGGGTCTTTTTCTTGTTGTTCTTCCTGGGCTCTGATGGAAATGAAGGAAAGTGAATCATCATCACCTTGATGACTACAGCAGCAGCCATTTCACTTTGTTGTTTATTAGGACCCAGTGAATCAATCAGAGATGGATGGAGTAAGACATATGATTGGCAGTGTTTCCAATCATGAAAAATATAATTTGATACAGCTCAACCAAACCAAACAAGCCTCACCTCCAAATCAATATGAAGTAAAGCAGCTGTTTGGAAGCAGTCCATTGATACAAATTTAAGATAGATGGATGGATAGATAGATAGATAGATAGATAGATGGATAGAGGCTAAATTTAGAAATCTGAAGTACTTTGCCTTCTTTATCTTTTGTAACTACTTGTCAACACATTATTTTTAAAGATGCCCAATTCTGCCTTTTTTACTATCTTAACCTGTGATTTACATTTACTATGCTATTATGTTTAACCTTAAAAATACCAAATGACAATAAGCTTTTTAAAAATCATTTTATTGGCAGAATTTAGAATTGAATCCTAGTTGCTACAGTATCATTAAGTCATTATGCATTTGGGGGATGTTACTAAATTTGATTATTGTGATTGTTGAGATTGAAGTTTGAGCAATTTGTTGAATTGTCTTAGCCAGTTGCCTTACAAGGTTCTACTACTCTTAATTTTGGAAACTGGTTTGGTGTGTTGTTTGGTGATTATTCTATGGCTAATTGGCCCATATAACTTTGTATATCTGGTCATATACTTGGACCTTAAAGCTAAAATTACATCGCGAGGTGAGATTTTCAGTACTAAATTATTACAAGTCCTTATCCTTTATATTGCCGTTTTTGTCCCACATACTTTAGAACTCCCCTTTCCAGACCTCTAGACCTGTGACGGTCGCTTCAAGTCAATCAGAGGGGAAAATGGTATGAGTGATATAAACTATCATTTCTTATGATAATATAAATGCTTGGCCTGTTATATCATGCTGCCACTCTCCTGGGCTATAATGGATAATCTCCAGCTTGATGTACATCTACTTCTTATCCTATACATGGTCAGGCAATGATATGTACTCCTGCTTCTGATGCTTAAACTCCCAGGTTTCTATTAGCTGTCTAACTTTGGGATTTGTATGTCAACTTGAAGTCATGAGATGGTTTTATGATTATGTGCCTTTGTGGCATAAATTGAAATATGATTGTCAAGTTTCATCGATAAGCTGGTTTTTCTCAACTTAGAAAAATGAAATTATGTCAGCAGTGTAGTCATGTGGTAAGTATACTTGTCTGGAGGATATTCTGCAATTGACAGCATTTTTGCTGCTGTCTAGTGATACAGCCCAACCAAAAGTTTATTTATCACAAAAGTTTCAAAGAGCCATGGAAATGTATAATAACTTCAAATATTATAATGATTTATGGTAATGATCATGCCAGTGAAGTCTGCTTTAGTGGCTATGTGCAATGCATACCTGGATTTGTAACACTTAATAATTCCTTTGGCCAGTACAGTATTAACCAAATGCTATTAATTGCACTTAGAATCAGAACTGGGATCATGCATGGGCTCCTGAATTCCAATTTTTGGCTTAAGGCTTTAGCATCAAACTGTGTGATGATTGCATGTAAAAGTGTTGTTTCACTGTGCTTGGAGTAACCCCAAATGCCAGGAATGAAGGAACTATATCCCATATCAAATCAAACCAGTTGGGTCAAAGCATGTTTCTGTAGCATTTGAGATATCTTTATTTAGACAAAACTTTTACTGTATATCTGACTTTATTTTGTGGGAAGTGAGATTTTGGTACTGTAGCATTAAAATGGAAATTATTCATATATGTTTTGAAATAAAATGGCTTCCCTTTCCCTGGTCTAAATGTATAAGAAACTTAAACATAGAGTCTGGCTGTGTAGGAACATCCCTTTTCTAGTTTTTTCTAAGCCAGCCATGACTTTAACAACAAAATGCAGAAGAATCACATCAATGAGAACAAAAATTGAGCCTTGCCACATAGCTGTCCTTTGAGTTTTAGCCACATAGCCTCTTCCAATGTGAAATTGAAATTGGTTAACCAGAATTGGGAACTGAAATTTGTAAGTTCATCACATGGCCATTGGCTACCTGTGATCACCCAGTTATAAAAACAACTTACAAATTATTGCCAAAGCTTTTCATGATGCCATCCTTCTTCCCTCCAAAATTCATATTTCTGCTTTTAGAAATTTCTCCAATTGTTTAATGGTAATTCTTATTATTGCCCATTTATGGAGGAAGCATCTGGCCAAAAGTGGAATTATACATCCAAACTTTGGAACATTGCCATTTTCTCTGTTCTCTTAAATCTGTTGTCCTGTAGCCTGTCCAGTCCCTGATTTAGTTAATACCTCCCTATTTTCATAACCGCCCCACTTTAAAAGGGATTCTCCCCATTCAGACCCATTGGTTTCATTTCCTCCCACCTTCTAAGTTGTCCCACATTCTGTTTTAACTTTCTTTTCTTTCTTTATTTACGTCCATTACAGCCAGATCTCTATGGCTCACAGATGTGCCCAGGGAAGCTCCCAGAGGTGCGTCACAGGCCCAAAAGAAGCTTGCATCAAAGTGCTTCTTTGAGATGTCATAGCACTGCAGCAGCAGGTTCATGTGTGTGCAGTAGAGTTGTTGCTTGGCTTATCTCACTTTTTTGTTGTCATTCCCAAACTCTGGAGGCCCACGTCACACATTGTTTTGCCGAGACTTCATAGGACAAAGCCACGTAAATTGTGTCTGGATGCACTTCAGGAATAGTGTGTCTACTTCTCTCTCCAAGTTGTTCTTGGAGGTTGGATAATTTTGAAATGGGGACATCTGTAGGCTGAACTTGTAGGAAAGAATGTTGAATACTCAATATAAAACTAACCTCTCTGTGTAATTTTTGCAATTCTCCTTGGTTAGATTGCCAAATACTCTTTCCTCTCTGCTCTAAATGCTTCAAATTATTGCAAATTCTCAGAAGGCTTTGGCATGGTTCTCATAGTCCCCAGGTTCTATGTGGACAATAAATGAAGTGGGGAGGAAGGGGGGGAGGAGCAGAGGAGGGCATGCCCTGGATAAAGCTGCAGTGGAAATCTCCAAAGCAGTATTAATGTTAGTATTTAGCATTTCAGTGGTTATTGCTCCTCCACAGTTCTATTTTTGTCTCCTCCCAATTTGGCTGTATATTAAAGCTCTGGACCCAAAAAATTACATTTTGTAATCACAAAATATAAACTGACCAAGGGTGAGGCTTTCCTTTTATTCTAAAATACCTTCTGATTACAACATGCCCAGAAACAGCTTGTTGTTCCAGTCATAGAAAACCCATTGATCTGCACGATACTATGCTGTGCACAAATTTAGAGAAGTCTTGCTATGTCTGCCCTGAGTCACCAGAAAAAAATAAGCTAAGCTGTAAACATCATTTCATGGATGAGCAGAGTCAATATGGAGGTGATTTTCATGCACTTTTTTTTCAATCACAGTCATACTCCCACCCACCCTTTTTAAGTTGGATCCTAGTTTTACCTATGTGTTTGAATTAGAGAAGAGAATGATTGCATTATTAAGTTACTAACGTTAAAACTAGAATGTAACTTCAGTTTCCCAAGTGTAATCCTACAGGTAGCATGGGCTTCTTGGTGAAGAACTTTACTGGAACATGAACATGCTGCTGCCTAATGTTCTGAGCTGCCTTTCTTTCCCTTTGGCTGTCCACAGGGAATTCCTGAACAATGGGCACGATTACTCCAAACCTCCAACATAACAAAACTGGAACAGAAGAAGAACCCACAAGCTGTTTTAGATGTTCTCAAATTCTATGATTCCAAAGAAACAGTCAACAACCAGAAATACATGAGCTTTACATCAGGAGGTAAGAGAAATTTTAGAATATCAAAAATGGAAGAATTGGAAGGAAGGAAAAAGAAAAAAGAGAATAGAAGGAAAAAAATAGAAACAAAGCTTTGTAAATAAGTAGGGGAAGAGAGATTGGAGGGAGGGGAGGGGATTGGGGAAAAAAGAAGGATCAAGATACATTAGGTACAGTTACAAATACCCTATGATGAATGTGATCACTATGTGTATCTGAAGTATACCAATAAAATTAATTTTTTAAAAATTTAAGAATTAACTAGAAACTTAGAGACTCGTGTTTAAAATAAAATGCCTGTGGGACATTTGAAGTCGGTTCTAGTACCTTCTTCAAATGGGCTCAGTATAACTAAACCGAAAGATAAGTTAGAACTTGAGGTTGATGACAAGAGATACATATTCATTGGGTGTTTTTAGAACTCAAATAAGGAAATTGTTCAGTGAATCCATAGTGATTAACTTGAATCAGCAATTACAGTTATTTGGTCTCTTCACTGACATGAAGACCTCTGTCACTTAGGATCAGGCCTTATGTTCATGAAGTAAGAAATAGATGAATCAAACCATAGTTGCTGTAAATTTACCCCATAGGTTCATTGATTTGTACCATGATGATGCAAAATAAATTTTGTGGTTTTCAGGTTATTTTCATCATATCCCAAAATAAGACCGAAGAACAGAAACCATGTCTTATTATTTACAGTGATTGAAATTGCCATGTTACTACCAAATCTGATTTCATTTGCCTAATGTGTAGACGTGGCCTTTGTTTGGAAATGTGATATTTAAATTTGCACTTTAAGCAACCAAAAACATATCCCAAATAATACTTTTGCATTTTGAAAAATACGATCTAGGTTGTGTCTCTAGAACAATTTATTTCATATCTAAAGAGAGAAGGGAATTTTATCATTAATACCCCAGCCATAAAAAGCTCCTACTTCTTGGCATCAGGTTCTACACGTGGCCAACTTGAAGTCTGTTTGAGAATGGTGCATATACACACTTGAAATGAGAGGTGTGTCTGATTTGACCATATTGAACATCAAAGCTCAACACTGAATATATGTGACAATTCACATGCTAAATGGGACTTTTTGATTTGATATTAGCTGTTGCACCATGTTGAAAACCTAAAAGGAAAGCCATCAAGGCAAACTTTTTATGCTAGTCTTCCATGTAGAATAAAATGTCTAAGAGATCCTGTTGACATATAAAACAATGTTTAATGTGAGGAAATCAGGAGGTGCGCTTCAAGTTACAATCATAGGTGACAAGAACCAAAAATGTTTTCAAGAAATCATTTCTGAATAACCATTGATATGCTTCACTTTCCCAAAGAATTGCCACTGCTGTTTAACATTTTTATTTTTGTATGTTAAGTTCTCTTAACTTACAAAGATCAACTCCTGACAACTATGTTAAAACTCAACAGTATCTGAACCTATTGCACTATACTGAGCTGAATAAAACTCACCATATTTTTCTCTGAATGCTCTAGTGTATAGGGGGCAGGGAGAAGAAGAGAATCAGAAGGGAAGACAGAAGGAAAGAATAGAAAGGAGGGAGAAAGGAGAAAAGGGAGAGGGGAAAGGAGAAAAAAATAATGTAATACAGATGAATAGCCTGATAACAATCAGAAGTAGGTCGTCTTCACATTCCTCCATATAAATGAGGTTCACTTCACTGAGGTTTGTACAATGACTTGGTGAGAATATGGCGAGGATGGAATGGTGTAAACTATTTTAAGGGATAAAACTATCATTTGTCATAATATCTATTTAATACTAAATCGGAGAATGTATTCTTGGCTCAAGACATGCCGGGTTTTGGTTTATTTTTCTGCTTTTTTTTTAATATGCCTAAATGAGATAGTCCTCATGAAACAAAGATGACCTCTTTTTTCTCACTTTTCAGATAAAAGCGCCCATGGATATATAGCAGCACATCCTTCAGTAAGTGAAAAATCAAAAACTTTTTCATGATTAATGTTTCCTATGATCCAACAGAATATAATTGCATTTATGCTGTTTTTAGATATAAAATGCTTTTAAAACAGTTTTAAAGGTATAATTTAGATATAAACATTTACCTATTTTAAGGGTACAATGAGTTTTAGTAAATTTATATACTTGTGTTACCCTCATCATAATCAAGTTTTAGAACATGTCCAGCACTTTAGTAACATCTCTTTTGACTACTTAGAGTTAATCCCTACCCACTGCTACCCTACCCCTGGGCAAATGCTAATTTGGTTTCTGCCTTTAAAAAGTTTCCTTTTTGGATATTTCCTGTAAATGAAATAATACATTGTATGACCTTCTGGTATTGGCTTTTTTTACTTAGCATAATTCTTTCAGAATTCATCCAAGTTGCTGTGTACATCAATAGCTTGTTTTTCTTATTGCTGAGTAGTGCACTATGGTATGATTGTACCACTGATGATTCACTCATTGAAGATTCTCTAGACTATTTCTAGTTTTGGGCTTTTACCAATAAAGCTACCATAAAAACATATATTCATTTGTCTTTATGTGCACAAATGTTTTTATTTTTCTTACATATAGAATTTGGAAAATAATCATATTAATAGGAACTTCTCTTTATTAAACACAGAATGTATATGTGCAATGTGGGCTAATATTATTTTTATATTCACTTAATCTTCCCTATAATTCAATTAAGTCTTAACCATTGTCGTCATTTTACAAATGAAGAAACAGGTTTAGAGAGATAAACTTACTGTTCTATTTTGTGACATCCCATTTTTTAGTGTCATTTGTTCAAACAAACTAAGATACATTGAGGGAAATGAACTTTGCCCAAAGTCACATGCTTTTATCAGAAAATGTACTGGAAAATATGTAAACTAATCTTTGGAAGTACTGTGGCATCTGAAAGAATACTAAATATATTAGACAAAATCAGCTCTGATGAGATTTCCTTTTCTGTGGATTTTCATTTTGATATCCTAATAAAAATTATTTCCTGTCTCATTTGCTTACTTAGTGTTATAATAATTGAAATTAATAAAAGTCCCCTAAGCATTTATTCAGGGTCATGGATGACTAACCGAATTTTTTTCTTCTCATAAATGATGAATACTAACCTGCTTGACCTCATCTTGGCCTGCTAGTGTAACAACAGTAGATCATTAGTGGCAAAATGTAAAATCTCTGAGATGGTATGACACTTCTTCAAACATTAAAAAATAGAATTACCATCGATCCAGTTTATCTACTTCTGGGTATATACACAGAATTGTAAAAGTCTTGAAGAAATATTATACACATGTTTGTAGCAGCACTATTCACAATAGCTAAAAGAGAAGCAATTCAAATATCCATCAATGGATGAAGTGATAAATAAGATGTTATATATACAAATAATAGAATATTATTCAACATGTATAAACATAGAGAAGCTTATGCTAAGTGAAATAAGCCAGCCACAAAAAGACAAAGACTGCATAATTCCACTTATGTGAGATACATAGAGTCAAATTTGTAGTGACAAAAGCTAGAATGGTGGTAGCCAGAAGTTTAGGGGCAGGGGAATGGGGAATTGTTTAATGAGTAAAGAGTTTCAGTTTGGAAAGGTGTAAAGAGTTCTGGAGATGGATGGTGGTAATGGTTGTACAACAGTGTGAATATTCTTACCAAAGTTAAAAATAAAATGAAAAGGTGCATAGGAGTGTGGCTAGTGGTACAACATGTGCTTAGCATGCATGATGTCCAAGGTTCAGTCCTCAGCACAGAGAAGGAGGGAGGGAATGAGAGCTAGAGGATAAACGGAAGGAAAGGATAGGGGAAAAAACGGGAGCAAATGGAAAAGTAAAAAGGAAATGAAGAGAAAGAAAAGGAAAAAAGAAATTAAAAAAACAAAGCAAACAATTGGGCATAGGAATTTAATGTGATTCCTCTACTTACTGGCTGTGTGACTTTGGGAGAGTAGCTTAGCTTCCTTGAGCCTTTTTCCTCAGTGTTAAATGGGAATAATGATGGGATCTAACTTCCAGGACTTGTGTGAATATTGAATGTGACAATAAATATAATGTACTTAATATAGAGCCTAGCACATAATATGTGTCTATTAAACATTAACTGTTACTATTTTTATTTTTCTATGGCAACAAGAGGAAAAGCTAGCTCTCTCCACATATGTAGGTTGTCTGAGACTCAGTATCTTGTCGAGATTCTCCAAAATAGAACAGAATACGACTCTCTTACCCAACTCTCATTTCCCCTCCTGTTTCTTTGCCATGACAGCTTCCTGGGCCACACTGAAAATAACACAAAAAGGAAGGAAATAGGAAAGTATGAAAGAATGCCAGTATTCCATGACCTACACATACTTTATATTCATTAATCTAATTAATATCATACTTGCGCAGTCCTGGTTGAGTATCCTAGGAAAGAAATTGTTATTATTATTTTTGTAGGTCAGTTATTTTAATAGTAAATGTCCAGAATGAATTAGGAACAGAAAGTGAGATTAGATGAAGGGAGACTAGTTGGGGAAATATTGCAAGTATCCAGGCCAGAGATAATGAGGGCTAGAGGTGAGGTAATGGCAATAGGAATGGAGACTAGGTCCAAATTCTAGAGATGTTTACGTTATTAATTGGCTGTTGGAAGAAAGGATGAGATCAAAGGTGATTTTAGGCTTAAAATGGATAAAAAGATATAGATGTTATCTTTCAGGAGAAGCAGGTTCCCATTGGAAATGTTGGGTTTCCTATTGGACAGTTTGAATTTGAAGCTAGGTGCGACTTCTGAGTAGAGATAATTGATTAAACTATTTGACTAAAGCTGGGTTCTTATTGATTGAATTAATTGAATTGGACCCTCAAGTTCAGTTAAGATCACTTCAATCGGACTTAGTCACTTGGGATAGAAAACTGCACCTTGTCTTTTTATTATGGTTCTAGAGGGAGACTGCACTTCATACTGTGTATGCCTTTTTGTGTTAGACACTGTCCCAGTAGACCTAGTTATCTTACATGATCTGATTGAATGGGGCTGACTAATCTGTATAAATACAGTCTGAACTGATGAGAAGTTTTGGGACCCTGCATAAAAATTAATGTAATTAAGTGTAAGAATTAATATAGAAGCAATTTTGTATTCTGTAAATGTTTTAAACTGATGTCTGTGCAATTAGTATTAAATTCAGTGATGCCTCCCATAGCTTCAGATGTTTTACTTCTCACTTGTCATAGTCTCTTTGATATTAGTATCTTAAATTCCACATAGTGTTCAGGGATATACTCTTCAATTTGAAGCTAATTTTTAAATATCATATTTTGATTACACTGTTGAGAATGAAGTGATGTATTTAGAATCCTGAGCTATTATTCTAAGTGGAAGATAAAGACAGTAATATGAATGTCATGATTTATGCCCTGGAGAAACTGTGTTTACAGTTGACAGATCACTCTTCTTGGTTCCTAGTTCCGATTTTGGGGGGAGGGGGTGGGGGAGATTGAGGATTGAACTCAGGACCTTGCACTTGCCAGGCAGGTGCTGTGTCACTGAGCTAAATTCCCTGCCTAGTTCTGATTCATTTTGTCCATCTAGATTAGTGGTTCTTCGGGGTGTGCCAGAATTGCCTGGGGAGTCTGTTAAAGTGCAGATTTCAGTATTCAAATTCCCAGAGTAGGACTGAAATGGAACTCTGAAAGCTGCATTTTAAACAAGTACCAACAGTGTTGCCAAACCACATTTTGTATTATCTACAATATCCAAAATCCTTCCAATTCCTTTGGCCTTTAAAAATGCAGCTCAAAGAAAGGAGAGGTTCCTAAGGTAGTTCTTCTAGCTGGTGCATTCTGTAGTGCAGGGTTCACAACTTGGAGTCTACGGATGACATTAGAAAATCTATGAACCCTCGAAATTACATGGAAAAATGTCTCTACCTGTATTTTTCTAAGAAGATAAACCAAATCCTTCAAAATTTTCAGAGTCCAGGACTCTACTCAGGTTAAGAATTACCTCCCATGCTCCAATCAATGTGTGGCATCATAAGCATGTCAGAATATCCAGTTTTGAAGCCAGACATGGAGGCAGGAGGATCACCTCAAGTTCAAGGTCAGCCTGGGCTACATAATGAATTCAAGGCCTGTTTGAACTACATAGCAAGATCCTGTCTCAAAAAAATCCAATTTTTAAAAAAAATATCCCTTAGTCACTCTGCATCTGTGTATGTTTTTACAAGTTTAAAAAATTAGATATAGTGCATGTACATAACCCATCTTAATTTTTATGTACATGGACCCACTCCCCACAATGAATGTAATCATTATGTACTGCAAACATGTACTAATAAAAATGTTTTTAAAAATTAGGTATAGTAATTCTCAGCCTGGAAAGGTGTGGAAATATTACATCATTGACTCCAAAAAAAACCACTGGGAAAACTCATTGAGCAAAACTAAATTTATTAATTGTACAGAAAAAAGATACAGCATTATATACGGAGGTTTAGGAGTGTCTTAGAGAGGGGACATAAGGAAATAATATAGGCTCTTAGGGCCCAGACTATCCAATTCTGAAGCAGGACTTGAAAAGAGAGAAGCAAGTTAAGATTGTGCCCTGTTTATAGTAAAATAGCTTTGGATTGGTGAATATAGCAAGGTAAGGATCTTGAGGTGAGTCTTCATGAACAAACTGTTAGTCAAAAAAATCAATGCTTTTAGTTGTTTTACAATAATCTTCTCGAAACAAGTATTTCCCAAAGTATCAGGCTAAGTTATTTTTGTTTATTCTCGCTGTTGTTTAACATAAGAACAGTAAAATATGTCTGTCCTGATATTTAACACAAGGAAAAGTAATTATGTCCCATTGCATGATTATTTATGCAGGAATAGGAATATATGCCTGTTCCTGGTACTTTCTAATGCACAGTCAAGAAATTATGTTAATTTCAGTACTCAGTACCAAGAATTGGTGTGTTAGGTGGATTGTGGGGGAGGTAATGATTTGTGGACTAACCACAGTAGAAAAATATACTGTCCACTGAAGTCCGCACATTCTTTCCAGACAACCAGCTAATTTGGCAGGACTGTGTTAAATCTAAAGTAATCAGAAATATACATCTCAATCTTCTCCCACAAACCTTCAGAGGACAAAAACCTTCAGGTTTTCTAATAGTCTCCAGAGTCCATCCTTGGAGATAGAATAGTAAAGATAATAAAGAATGAGTGTTAAGAAATAGTGACGTTTTTCAGATAGATCTTATCTAATGAAGTATCAAGACTTGATATATGTATCAAACACATTAAAGGACTCCCATATTCCACTTTCTTATTTTTGCTGTAAATTTCTGAAAAGATTTTTGAATTTGAAATTATTTGGTTAAAAGAACATTTAATTTATGATTAAGTCTAATTTCTTGACAAATCATTGTGAATACTAAAGAATTGTTTCTAAATAAGAAAATCTACCATATAATTTATTTTAATGTAGTTTCTATAAATGCTAGATTTAAATAATTGACACATTATTATACTTAAAGACATTTAATTAGATATTAGTTAATTTAGATTTTTTTGTGTGTGTGGCTTTTGGGGGCTGATGATTTGTTTCTGGCCTCAAACACATTCATAGACCCACATAAACCTTATCATCCCTGGGCAAAGTTTATATCGCCTACTGGGTAAAATAGCACCATTTTTCGTGTAAGTAAGTACTCAGCTTATATGAAAGGTCTGCCCTTCTACTAAGGTGCAGTGATTAGGTGCAGGCATAAGATAGAGCAAAATATTCTGGAGCATAATATCAAAGCAAATACCAATTGTCTAAAAATAATTTCTCCCTGGTACCCATTGAAATAATCTCAAGAGTTAATGTTTCACAATAAGAAAGTGATTTTTTTTTAAATCTGGAAACTTGTTATCATTAACCTATGTTGCTATATATAGCCATAATGCAATATAATAGCCCAGTATTTATAGGTATAGTAAGAGCGAATATGAGGTGTGATTAAAATATACAGTGAATGCTTAATTTTAAAAATATTACAGTAAAAGATGTTTCCATTAATCCCCCTCAAAATACTTGCCCTCACTTCCTACGTACTTATCCTATTATTCTTGCCACTTTCTGGAACTTTCTGGAAGAAGTGCTGGAAGTGTTCTTTCATGAGTGTCTTTATAAGGTGTGATCAAAAATATGATGAATGCTGCTGTCAAGTGCCATCTAATGGAAAGGCAAGCTCATAAAAGCATTACAATGTATCCTCATCCACTTTATTCACTGGATCTGTCAAAATGTGACTTTTAGCTCTTCTCCAAATGTCAAAATGATCATACGTGGTAAACATTTTGAATGAATTCAGGACATTGAGGCAACTATTACAATGCAACTAATGATAACTACAAAAGAGAACTTTCAGAAATGCTTCAGAAAGTGGCAAGAATGATGTAAGAAGTGTGCTGGAAGCAAGGGGAGTATTTTGACGGGAATAAATGGTAGTATATCTTTTACTATAATACATTTTTAAAATTAAACTTTCACAATTTTTTAATCACATTTCATATAGATGTATAAATAAAAAACGGATGTCTAGTAGATACTTACACTTCATTCTACAAACCACTCAGCATCTGTATCAGGGAAGTCAAATATTCTTTCATTTACTTATTGATACATTCTACATATTGTTCCTTCTCACAATAAATAAATCTAGCTGGCTCTGATCAAATACATATTTACATCGTACTACTCTATTGTTGATATTCACATGATTATACAAAATCCATATTAGATTTTTAACCATGGACTGAGGTCATTCAATGTAATAAGTCTGTTAATAGGATACTTATAACTACTTCAGGAGCTTTGTTCTCAGAGAATAAAAATTAATGATAGTATTGTCCTGGATGGTACACCCAATGGCATACCAGAAAGATAAATATAAAAAAGAAAGCAAAACATAAAACAAAACAAAAATAATAACACTGTCCCATAATAGCACTGCCCAACAGAAATATAATGTAAACTATGTATAACTAAATTTTCTAGTAGACACATTAAAAACCAAAAATAAAGAGGAGAAATTAATTTAATAGTATAGTTTTACCTCGGTACATTGGAAATATTAGCACCTCAACATATAAATATAAAAAGAATTATTGAAATATATTACAATTTGTTCCTATCAAATATACAATGCCAAAGATTTTTTTACAATTATAATACATGTCAATTCAGAGTATCTGCATTTTAACTGTTCAATAACCATATGTGGATAGTGGCTGCCATATTGGATACTGCATACATATACCACAGTTGATGGTTCTGAAACCTGAACATGCATCAGTATCACCTGTAAAGCTTGTTATAACACAAATTGCTGTACCCTACTTTCAGAATTTCTGATTCACAGGTCTAGATGGAACCTGAGAATTTGCGGTTCTAAGTTCCTTGATGGTGCTAATCTAGGAACCACACATTGAGAACTATGACCATATCTCTTTCAAAATGTAACATTGGAACCATTGTGCCCCATGCATTAATGTGAATGATCAAGAACAGGCCCTAGGTACCATGGTGGTTGTTAATTTGGTAGTGTTGTTCCAGTTTACAAATAATTGCAAATTACTGTTAACTTGTAGGTTAATATTGAGCAATTATTTATGCAGGTAGATATTCCGTAGATCTTTTTGTCTGTTACTATTTGAGTGCTTCTTTCCAGGAGGCTGGACAGGGAAGAAACATTTATTGGCTTGCTTGTTCTTAGTGAGTATTTACAGAGCTGTATTAATACCATATCCATGTGCATGCTCTGACCTTTAGGCAGAAAATTACCCTTTCCAAATTGACAAACTATCAGTCAGCAAATTGACAATGTACTCAATATAGATTCAAATATTTAGTGTCAATTTATTTTTAATGCATTCATTGATTTCAAAAATATTGAACTCTACAATTTAAGTGAATAAATATATCACTGTTTTTGAGCTCAGTGAAAAATAAAAATAATTCTTTAGATTTTGTGGACCTTTCAACCATGACATGAATTTATTTCTGAATGTAAGCAGATCCTGCCCACCAAATTATAGATGGTTCTGCTCATTTGTAAAAGATGCTGTTTTCTTTTATCCCATACATGAATTTCTGAAGAAAAACAATGAGGAGTAAATATCTGATCTTTAAACTTTTTTTGTCCTAAGAGTACAAAAACAGCATCTGAGCCTCCTTTAGCTCCTCCGGTATCTGAAGAAGAAGACGAAGAAGAGGAGGAGGAAGAAGATGACAATGAGCCCCCACCTGTTATTGCACCAAGACCAGAGCATACAAAATCAGTAAGTCACAAGTCATTATTTCTAAATGATTCAAAAGATGCCTTTTGGAACATAGAATATAAATCAACTGATACCTATTGAATATCTCCTGTGTTCCGAGAACTAGACTATAGGATGCAACCCTGGTTTTGACAGTTCTTTTCAAGGACACTAAATTTATCATATAAAATAATTTGACAATAATAGCAAAACACAACATAAATAGCTGTAAGTTATAAAACCTGCTGCAGAAGTTAAGATAGGAAAGGAAATCCATGTGAACCAGACAGGAAGAATGACATAGACAGAGGCACCAAGACCAGAACTAACAGGGCCGTGTATAGGGACCTCCAAAGACTAGCTCTCGAGATCTGTCAGTGACAGTGTACTTGAATGTACTTGAAGCTCTTTTTAAATAGATAATAACTTATCTTTGAAAACTCATTGAAATGACAGTGCCATAAATTTATACTTGTCCTTTGGCCTCTGGTATTAAGTGTAGGACTTTTTTTTCCTTTTAGATCTATACTCGTTCTGTGGTTGAATCCATTGCTTCACCAGCAGCACCAAATAAAGAAGTCACACCACCTTCTGCTGAGAATGCCAATTCCAGTACTTTGTACAGAAATACAGATCGCCAAAGGAAGAAATCCAAGATGACAGATGAGGAGATCCTAGAGAAGCTAAGTGAGTTTTTTTGCCATCATTATTTTCTTCAAGAGAGGGCTTCTCCAAAACCATTTAGAAGCAGACTTTATTCTTTAGAAGTTTGAATCTGTTTGTGTGAACTCCAGGGTCACTTCAGTCATGAGATGAAAAGTTTGGGACTTATTATACATACTAGGATCATTCCCACCCTCACACTCTTAATTTGACAGAAACAAAATACTTTCACCTGAAAAAGTAAATTACAGTGAAAACTTGACAAAACATACTCAGTGGTAAGTTTTAAGAGTATATCATCAAAAGAGATGAAATGGTCTGATGAAATATGATCACACTACAAGGGCTCCAACTAATGGATCATGATAGAAAAATCAACTTCATGCCAAACATAGTCAATCAAAACTTGAAACCACAAATATTGTGACCTTTCCCATTAATTCAGAAGCATTTCTATGTGGGGAGCAAAGCAGAGCTAGAAAATACTAGCAGTCTCTTGTCTCATTGGTCTGTATATGCTTGCGCACCCATACTTGTCCCAGTTTTACAAACACTCATGCTATAGTCAGTGTTCTGGGGAAAAAGATTTGTTAAAAAATATGTTCTCTGCTAAAAAGAGCTAAAGCTCTGTGAATCATATGTTTTAAACTCAGTCAGAATTGCTAGATATTAGCAATCAGTGCTCCCACTTAGGCTAACTCCTACTTATCCTTCAAAACTCAGCTTAAAATTTCCCTCCTCAAGGGAGCTTGCCTTGCCTCCCCCCATCTGAGTTAAGAGCTTCTCTTCTTTACTACCTTTATCATAGTAAAAAATCACATCATACTAGTATGTCTCCTTCGCTAGTCTGTGATCTTCCCCACAGCAGGAACTATGTCTTTCTTTCCTATATGTCCAACTCCTAGTAAGTGTCTGTATATGAAGGCTGTCATCAAATGCTCATTGAGAATGTAGTGAGTTCCTAATGTCTGTTCTCTATGCCAAAAAAAACTTTGGAAGACACAATAGAAAGATAATTCTCTGTCATCAAGAAACATACCATGGTCTTTTAAAGACACCATTTAATAGAATAATACAATTGGAGAAAAAGAGGCTATTTCTTTTAATGTAATTTTTTAAGCTAAAAATTCTGAAAAAATCAAGAGAGCAATTCCAACTGTAAGCCACAGGGAGGCTCTACAGAGGTGGTATTAGGACCATTTTGCTCTCCAAGGCGTATTTGACTATGTCTAAAGACAGTTTTTGTAGTCACAATTCAGAGTGTTTCTGGCATCTAGTGGATAGAGGCTAAGGGTGCTTCTAAGCATCCTACAGTGCACAGGATGCTTCTCTTCCTTTCCCTTTCACAACAAAGTATTATTCAGCTCAAAAAGTCAGTGGTCCTGAACTTGAGACTTGTGGAGCTGCACGGATCTGGAAAGGTAAAGTTTGGGGTTGTATCTGCCAGTGAGCACTCCCAACTTGAATCCCTGGACTTTATCAAACTGACTTTACACAATTAAATATCCTTCCATCAACCATTTGCTGTATTAACAACCATAATAATTCTCATTTACCAAGTACCTTCTATGCTGGCTGCTTTATATACATTGCAAGGTTAATTCTTTTCAATAATCCTTGTAGTAGATTTGAATGTCCTCATTTTACAGATCACTGAAAGCAAGCTTTAAAAAATGTAAGTGACCAAGTTACCAAACTACTGAATGGCAGAGCCAGAGTTTGATTTCATATTTGTATGCCTTCAAAGCTTACACTTTTCCCGTAACCCACTTTGCTTCTGCATATCCTAACTATTAATGTAAAAATAGAAAGATGAAATGAAAGAAACACCTGGATAATTTAAGTTCAATTATTGAGACAATTTCCCAAATTTATTTCTATATTTTGTACACATAGACATAATCTGTAAAATTATGTTTGATTTTTAAAATCTTTGCAGCCTTGTTTTAGTAGAAGAAACCACTATTTAGTATCTACTGTCTCAATAGAGTTATTATAATGAAAATGCTTTATATACTTTTTTAAGTTAGTTGAGAAACAAGCATTATTTTCCTGAGTAGAAATCTTGCTTTCCTCATAAACTGCAATAGTACTGGTGCTATGGCCTTTATGATTTTTTGTTTATTCTGTTCTGCCTTGAGCAACATGATGAAGAGGAGAAAGCAGCAAGATTACATATTTATTAAGAATTATATAGCTTTTTTCTGTATTGGACTTTATGTTTGGGTTTAGAGAGAATCATTTTCCTTCTAGCCCTATGACTGCCAACTTTACCTTGTATTTGTGGGTCTCAGTGGAGAACTTGCAGAGAAATGGAAAAGAGCTTCTTAAACAGTAGATTCAAGCAGATCTACTATCAAGTCTGCATAGTTGGGCTTTCCGGCCCTCACTCCACTATTTCCTTCTCGGTCCCTTCTCTCTTCCACTTAAATACTGGGTAACCTTAGACAAGTCATTTAACCTGAGCCTCTATTTCTTAGCTGTCAAGTGGAGACATGAATCCTAACTATATTTTAGAGCTTTGTCTACAGGATGTATTTTAGGGACCTCATATGGTTAAGAGAACAGTATCAGAGTCAGAGTCAGAAAACCCAGATTCAAATCACAGACCTTTTGTACTAGCAGTATCACTTTGAGCCAATTATTTAATTTTTCTGAGCCTCTGTTTCCTCATTTAAAAAGTTGAGATTAATCCAGGCATAGTGCTGGCATGCCAATAATCCCAGCACCCTGGGAGACTCGGGAAGAGAATTGCAATAGAAGGGCTGGGGATGTAACTCAGTGTGAAGGCCCTAAATTCAATCCCCAGTACCACTGAAAAGAAAAATTGAGATTATAATAGTACCAACTTCATAACATTTGATAATGAAGAATAATGCATGTAAAAACCTCATAAATGTACCTGGCACATAGTAGGTGCTCAATACATGATAATTATTTTATTGCATGAGTATAAAGCCTTAGTAACATAATACAATGCAACAAGCTTTGAAATGAATCATACCAAAATCTGAATCATAAACACAGACTAGCTGTGTGTACTTAGGCAAGTCACTTAACCTCTCTGAACTTTAGTTACTTCATCTGAGAAATGGAGATAATAATAGAACCTACATACCAGGGGTTTTATGAAAGCTAAATGAATTAAAATATGTAAGACATCTAGCACACTAAACAGTAGCATAAAATTATCATACTAGTTTTACAAAACCAAAGTAACTATATTTTTCAGTACAAAAAGTGAAAGAATAGGGTCTTACAGTGGAACAGAGTGTTGGAAATTGAAACTAATCTCCTATGTATGGTCCCTGTACAGAAGTCCTTGAAGACCTGGGAATCAAGTGTGCTGTTTAGAGGTTGGGGACAGTGGAAGTGGCTGTGCTGGAGACAGGGAGATGGTGGCAGGGATGTGGAGGAAAGGCCAGCAGTCCACAGCAGAGTGGCTCCCACAAACATGAGGAAGAGGAAACAGCAGCCTCCTTACCTTCTGTCTCAGGGATCTATTTGCCTGGAGGAGGTGGGAAACCCAAACCATAGAGCCACTGGGCTGTTTGTGTTCCATAGAGACACTGACTGTGGGGCCCAGAAAAAGGTATCACTAGTGGCTGAAATGGACTGATCATCTTTCCGTTTTACACAGATAAATAGCCTTGGTCTGGCTTGTTCCTTGTGGTCTGTCTGGGCCTGTTGGAAAATAAACAAACCCGTATATTCTAGTGAACAATTTTGAAAGGTGCTGTCAGCAAAACTGGGCAATGCAGAAAATTTGTCCTCAGCCTCCCTCTATGACCTCACAATCATCTACTCCTCTTTCTCCTCCTCTCCCCAAGTATTCCCCCTGAAACCACAGCATGAATCCTATTTTCCAATACCAGAGTGATTTCTTAAAACCTTGTACTTTAAAATGAATGATTTGTTTTCTAGTTAGGAAATTGCTGTGGCAGGAAATTGTTCTGATATTGCTATCATTTTTTTGTTTTGATTTTGATATAGTTTTTCCCACTTTTTTCATATTGTGTCACAATGTTTTTCCTTTACTTTTTTGTAATTTTTAAAAGCAAATTATTAAAGTGTAAGAGACCACTTTAAAAGCTTATTTTATAACTCAGAATGGTAAACAAGGCCTACTGTACACTTGCTTAACTAGTATCAGTAGATGGCAGCACACACTCTCCTGTCAAAGGTAATGGGTGTGGGGATACCATTTTATTTGAATAGCAGTTAAATGCAGGAACAGAATCTCACCAAAATGGCTGTCATTTGGTAATCCTCATGAAAGGGTTTATTTCCAGATGTTATTTTCTCTCCACATATCGTGGAACTAAAGATTGAATAATTTACTACGATAAAGCCTTATAAATGAAACCTTGCCAATTGGAAGTGATCATAATTCAGAAAGTAGTTTGGGCTGAAGTTTATGTGCTTTTGGTCAGTGCATAGAAAAGAGTTTGTTCAGCATCCTTATGGTAAAACTGTTTTAGAAAACTATAAACTGCTTAGTAAAACTATGGTTTCAAAGTGACTTTAAAAATCAACTTTTCATTAAAAAGAAATGATCCAGGCACTTAACCATTAGTAATTGGCTTGCAGAAGGTTGACTTTCAGTGATATGGAAATCTGATTGACAATTTGAAAAATAAAAGAGCGACTCAGAAATTGCTAAGTTGGTGGAATTCTATAGATATTGCTCAAAAAATATATTCTTTGACCTACCTTGAACTATATGGCATTTAAAAATTTTATTTGAGTTTAATTCAACAAATATTTAGTGAGTGTCTGATATACTCCATCCACAGCATTGTGTGAAAAAGCACTGAGGGTACAAAAGTGAATAAGATATGCCTCTTGTCCTTAAGACATATTCTGAAAGAGGATGTCAAACCAATAGAAATATTATGTATTAACGATAGAGATAAACAGCAAGAGCTAAACAGAGAGAGGAAAAATATATTAATGATTCTGTTTAGACTTTAGAGAAAAGGGGAGTTATTAACTTTATTCCAAGGGATCAAGGAGGGCTTCCTAGGAGACACAACATCTAAGCTGATGAATAGGAGCTTGTCTGGAGAAAATGTGGGAAGAACATTCCAGGTAAAGAAGACTTGAAGGCATGTGTTTAAGAACTCTAACTTATTCAGTGTTACTTGAATAAAATATTGGTGGTAGAAGGATTTATTGGAGTTATAGGAGAGGCACCTAAACTGTAAAGTAGAAGCTGATCATGAATTACAGTTAGTTTATTAAGGTCAGAGCCTAAGGCTTTAGTGGTGAAAGATGAGATAGAGAATGAAGCGGGAGAGAGATCATGAGGAACTTTGCATTCCATACCAAGGATTTGGGCCTTGTCCTTGGATGTTAGGGAACCATCAAAGTATCTTAAACCAAGAATCACATGATTTGATCAGGTCTGTACTTGGAGTGTTGTGATAGAGGGGTAGGGTCTGAAAAGGAATGAGCAAAAGCAAGAAACAAAAGTCCAGTTAAGATACTGTTGGACTAGCCCAGGCAAAAGATGATGAGCACCCATGAAAGCTGCAGCAATAAGGAAAGGATAAAGTCAGAAGATCTCTAGGAAGTCAATAGATAAAGGGTAAGGGGCTGGGACTTGACAGGTAACTGCATGGGGGCGGTACAAGTAAGGAATGAGTCAACCATGACTTTCTCAGCAGGCTACTGAGTGTGTGGATTGACAGTGCCACTGACTGAGATTAGAAATACAAGAGAAAATGTATTATTATAATTCTTATTTAACCTAACTGAAACATGGACATTCACCACTAAAAACAAAAACAAGAAACCCCAACAACCTGATGAATAATCCATGAGTGAAATATTTAACTGATTACTTTTCTCAAGGTAGACTGTCCATGTCTATTATTAGATCTGAATTAAGTTGTCCACTAACCTAGAGAGGAGATAATTGTCTAAATTAGCATGAGGTATTACTGGTACTACAGTATAGCACTTGAGTACATACATTTTTTTTGCTACTGGGTACTAGAGATTGAATCCAGAGCATTTGCACTGAGCTACAACCCCAGCCCTTTTTTTCTATTTTTCATTTTGAGACAGGGTCTTGCTAAGTTGCAGAGTTTGCTAGGCTGGGCTTGAACTTGTGATCCTCCTGCCTCAGGCTCACAGAGTGCTGGGACTATAGACATATGCCACCACACCCAGCTTTAAAACATATTTATTTATTCTCATTCACTTGGTCAACAAATATTTGTTTAGTATAGCCGCTGTTCTAGACACTGAGGTTAAAAAGATGAAAAGACAAATTTTCTGACCTCAAGAAAAAGTCTCATTAGAGAGATCAGAGAAGCCTTTACAAAGAATGCTTTGAGATTATATTTAAAGGATAATTAGTTCTTCCTGAGATGGATGAAGGGAAAGAGAAGAAGGAAATGGGAAAGCATATGCAAAGACTTATGCACTGGATAGTGATAGCATTAGTGAGATACAAAAGAGGAGGAATGGAGGGAGAGAAAAATGTGAAGTTAGACTGGTTAGCCTAAGAGCCAGATGGTGCTGGCTGATAAATGGTCTTCCACATGCAACTAAGGAATTAGATCCTGTAATGAAGGTAAACTTTTGAGCTCAGGGTTAATTTTGGAAGCTGAGGAGTGATAGGGAGGAACTAGTAACAGGTACAAGGTTTCTTTTTGGAATGATGAAATTTTCTAAAATTAGATCATAATGATGTTTGCACACACCTATAAATATATTAAAAACCATTGAATTGTACATCTTAAATAGGTGAAGTTCATAGTGATGCTGTCCAAATGTTTGGAGCCCTAGTAGGGCCCTAGGTTTATGGTTGTGTTTCTAAAAATCATGAATCTCATTATTTTTTATCAGACTTTGTTCTTCATCTCTATCCCCCATTGCCCTAGACACTGAACTACACACACAGCAATTGCTCAATAGATATTTATCCAGCAGAACTGAATGTAGTGTAGTGATCAACTTTACTCAAATTCAAAAAGATAATAATTATATTAAAAGGCATGTACAGTTTTTAGGTTATTTTATCTACTAAACTATATCATTTCATGAGACCCTTTTATAAATTTTGGATTATAATCAGTCCTTTTTTGTTTCCCAAACATCAATTTTGGAGAAAAGCAGCATGGGGTATTATTACTACTTTAATGTATTGCAATTTGCCTTTTGAAATAAAAAGTAACACATTCCATATAATTTGTAGAAATCATGTGGGAGTATTTATCTAATGTTTTTGTTATTGAGTTTCTCATCTTCATTATTGAAGGGAAATTGATCAATCTATTTTAATCTCTCCCCCCAGGAAGCATTGTAAGTGTTGGGGACCCAAAGAAAAAGTACACACGATTTGAAAAAATTGGTCAAGGGTAAGTGATTGCTATTTGAAATATCAAAAAATGAGCACCAGCAGCATACTAAAATTCACTAACAATGGATTCCTGGTAATTTATGCTTCTTATTTCCTGGATTATATTTGTGTGTTGCATTCTCAATTTTGGCCTTTCCAGCTGGCAGACTGACTGATAATTAGTGTAGGAACACAGCCTGCTGGAATCTTCAGTATCATTGAAATGGAAATAAATTTTGTAAGGACATTGTATTCCCCATATAGTTAACAGATTCAAACTAGTTTACCTAGAAAAGGAATGGAATTATAGAAATATCAGTCTATGAAAACTTCCTTTATCCTGCTCCTCTACACACAAACACACACAAATTTCCATATGCACGATGCAGTTAAGATTTTATTTCTTTACTACATTGGAAAGTGACAGCGAGGGTGGGGAAAGTCCTTACTGAATGACCCAAAAGTGGGCAGATTTAACTCTCTGAGTACAGAAGAACCAGATCAATAATCCCTAAATGGGATGGGGAATGTCTTTTTCACATAGTATACTTGTTAAAGATAAAGATTTCCAAGACCCTCTGCCCGACAGTTGATTCAGAAATCTGGCACGGACTCCAGCAATCAAAACTTTGCAAAAGTTCCTCAAATCATCCTGATCATCAGCTAGACAAAGGAGCCACAGTGTTGGGCCACTCACTAGGGCTGAAGGTACCAGAGTCATCAGTTTTGCAAGTCAACTCTAATTAGGTATCTTTTTCAGGCCTCAGTGTGAGATGCAGGAGGGTATGAGTAGGCAACAATGTTGAAACAAAGAAAAGTTTCGTTTAAAGAGCTATACCTTCCAAAGTCCATACACAAACTTCAACTCATTTTATTCATTCCCAAAAGGTAAATATGACAAGATGGGTAGAAAAGACAATATTATGTGCTAAGAGGGCTCGGAAAACAAAAGGTGGCTTTTAGATTTTATTGTAATTTGGTTGAGTCTCGAGCAGAGCTAACAATAAAGGAGAGACATGTACCTCACTTAGAAACACCACTCCAGATATTTGTTGTTCAATAGGTTGACTATATTTAATTGTTGAGCATTTGAAATGTGGCTAGTCTAAACTGAGGTGAACTGTAAGTGTAAAACGCACAATTAATTTCAGAAAGTTAGTATGAAAAAAGAATATAAAATATCTCATTGATAAAGTATATATTGGTTCCATGTTGAGATGACAAATATTTGCATGTGTTGAGTTAAATAAAATTAATTTCACTTTTTAAAGCTTTCAAAATGTAGCTCTAGGAATTTTATTTATTTATTTATTTATTTATTTATTTATTTATTGGTACTGGGGATCGAACTTAGGACCTTGCACTTGCAAGGCAGGTGCTGGGCCACTGAGCTAAATCCCTTGCCCTAGCTCTAGGAAACTTAAAAATAATGCATGCTACATTGTTTTTAAAAATATTTTTACTTTTTAAGTGACACATAATAATTGTACATATTTATAGGTAACCTTGCTATATTTCAACACATGTAAACACTGCATAATGTGCAAATTAGTGTATTTCTATCTCCTGAACATTTGTCTATCACTGTTTTTGTCCTGAAAACATTCAAAATCCTGTGCTGAAAACATTCAAATCCTTTCTTCTAGTTTTTTAAAAATGTACATTACATTTTCATGAATTAAAATCATCATACTATGCAATAAAACAAAACGTACCTCTCCTATCTAATTATAACTTAGTACCCATTGACCAACTTTTCCCCATCTCTCCTTCCCCTCTACTTTCCCTAGCTTTTTGGTAACCACTATTTTGCTCTCAACTCCTATGAGATCAACTTTTTTACATTACACTTAAGAGTGAATCCATGTGGTATTTGTGTTTCTGTGTCTGGTTTATTTCACTTAACATAATGTTTTCCAGTTTCATCCCTGTTATCACAAGTGATAAGATTTCATTTTTTATGCCTGAAATAATATTCCATGGTGTATATTATTTTATCTATTCATTAGTTGATAGACCCTTATGTTGATTCCATTTCTTGGCTAGTGTGAATAGTGCTGCAATAAACATGGGAGTACAGATGTCTCTTACTGATACTGGTTTTATCATACTGGTTTTATCTTCTTTGACTATTTACCCAGCAATGAGATTCCAGGACCATATGGTAGTTCTATTTTTAAACTTTTGAGTAACTTCCATACTGTTTTCCATAGTGGCTATATTAATTTACATCACCACCAAGGAAATATAAGAGTTCCCTTTTCTCCATATCTACACCATCAGTTGTTACCTTTTGTCTTTTTGTTAATAACAATTTTTACTGGAGTGAGGTGATACTTCATTTTAGCTTTGATTTTCATTTCTCTAATGAGTACTGATATTGAGCATTTTTTTCCTTATACCTGTTAGTCATTTGTATGTCTCTATTTTCCATTTTTAAATTTGATCATGTTTCCATTGAGTTGAGTACTTATATATTCTCCATATTAACCCCTTATTAAATATATAGTTTGAAAATACTTACTGTCATTGTATATATTGTCTATTTATTCTGTTTATTGTTTCTTTTGCTATGCAGAAGCTTTTTAGTTTGATGAAATCAAATTTGCTCAATTTTTGCTTTGATTTCTAACCACTTATTTATTTATAAAGTGCTTTTTTAGCTGTTATTTTTAGGAGGTAGTAATGAGAGCTATTTTAACTCTGTTTTGATCGTTCATTCCCACTAAGACCCAACTAAGCCAAAAATGGCATTGAATTTAAAAAGGAAAAAAAAATAAGAGATGGTTTCAAGTATCTCCCAGGTAATGAAGCAAGACTAATTCTTTCAAGAATAAAGATTAGACCACCAAGCAACTTCACATACCAAGGAGATTTCTCCTTCTGGCTGTTATTTAAATCTCTGACTTGTAAAGACAAAAAGCAAAGTTTTTATTTTTGAGTACCTTTGCAAAGTATTTATAATCTAAAATGAAAAATCAAAGCAGAAATCCTTCTTGTCTCTGCAAGTTCATCATTTTAAAGAATGCTGAAACCCATATTTCACTCATAGGCCTAACAAACATTTTTATAAGTCCTTAGAAGATAAGGAGAGCCAATTTTATTCCTCTTTTTGTCTCTTTCATGGTCTAGCACAGTACTTTACACTTAGCAGGCCCTCAAAACAATTGTATACAGTCGTGATCAATAGCCAGGTTTACTTTGGTCAGACTCAAAGTTTAACTACAGAGCTTTCCCTGTTTGCCGCTCCCCTGGGACTGTTTTTGCCTCAATAAATATTTGTTGAACTAATAAAAATGTTTGTCTTTCTACCTCTCCCTTTTTCTGTGTCCGCTGTCATTTTGTGTGTATATACATGTCTGTCTTGCTTTCTCTGTTTCTGTCTGTGTTTCTTTTGTTTCCTCAGTGTGTCATCTCTTTTTGTCTCTTGCAATGACTTAGTCTTTGTAGTCACATTGAATTCTTTATCCTTTGGGCGTTTGTGTATACTGTGTATCTGTCTTCTTAATGCATGGTGATTTTACCTACTATCCATTTTCACATATGTAGCCAGCCAAATGGTCATAGTATAAAATCAATGTATATTTTAAAAATAACTTTTGAGCTAGGCATAGTGGCACAAACCTGTAATCCCAGCACTCGGGAGGCTGAGCCAGGAGGATTTCCATGAGTTCAAGGCCACCCTGGACTACATAATGAGTTCAAGATCAGCCTGGACTACACAGTGAGACCCTGTCTGCAAAGAAAAAAAACCCTAATAAATAAATATAAAAATAAATTTTGAGATATAAGCTAGCAATTTAAATCTATTTATTTACTATCATTTTATCACTTATGTAATTTACTAATTTTCTATTTGTTCTTAACAAATTCTTCTCTGTTAAGTCTTCAAGGGAATGAGCAAAATTTTTTTCTTTTTAGACAAAAAAGCCACTTATGTTAACTTTGTTTTTACTTAAATAGCTCTCAACCAATTTTGCATGAATTATTGGCCTAAGTTACACAAACTAGTTTCAACTCTCAATATATAAAGCTTTTGTTTTCTTTTTATTAAGTTTGGGTTTTTTGTTGTTTTGCTTTTGTTTTACCTATTTTTATGGTGACATTTACACTCATGTCAATAGTCATTTAGTACTAGGAATCATCAACACCAGTAATTCCATTTTCAGCTTCAGAGGGCACAACAGCTCACTCCTGGAGCAGAATTTGAGAAAAATCTCTTCATTAATTAATCATCCTCATCTAGTTGGAAAACTAAATTTTTCCAGTATAGATTTCTGCCATCCCAGCTTTCAGGACTGGGGCCAGAGAATTGGGCTCTATTACCCCTAAATCAAGTTCAGAATTTTATGTCTAATCATTTGAGGCTATCATGGTAAGTTGAAAGCTAAAAATGACATCATGTCACTAGAGTTGCTCTAAAGTGTTCTGTACTTAGCCTCCAAATCAGACAATTAGGGCAGATGCGCAAAAAGTTGAAGTGAAAGGAAGGAAAGAAGTAAGAAAAGAAGGGAGGAAAGAAAGGGAAGAGAGGGGAGGGGAAGGAAAGGGAAGGGAGAAAGAGAGAGAGAGAAAGAAAGGAAAGAGAAAGAAAAAAAGAAAGAAAGAAAGAGAGAGAGAAAGAAAGAAAGAAAGAAAGAAAGAAAGAAAGAAAGAAAGAAAGAAAGAGGAAAGAAAGAAAGAAACTTAACATAAATTTACCAGAAATAGGGCCAGGGATTTAGCTCAGTGGTTTCTCTGCCTGCTGTGCAAGCGAAAGGACCAGAGTTCGATCCCCAGTACCAAAAAAAAAAGGAGCTGTCAGAGGAAAGGGGCGAGCCTGGTGGTCTCTCAAATTTACCAGAAATATATCTGGTGGAAACTAAATAATCTTCACTCTCTGGGATACTCATGTAAAATAATTTGTTTTATAAATAGGGTAAGGTGAGACAACAGAATCAAATATTTATATTCAGTGAACAACCATCATTAGCAATCCTATAATAATTCCTGAATAAGCAGTATCTATGTAACAGGGGG